CCCTCCATCACACACACGTTCACCCTCCAACACACACACGTTCACCCTCCAACACACACGTTCACCCTCCAACACACACACGTTCACCCTCCAACACACACGTTCACCCTCCAACACACACACACGTTCACCCTCCAACACACACGTTCACCCTCCATCACACACACGTTCACCCTCCAACACACACACGTTCACCCTCCAACACACACGTTCACCCTCCAACACACACACGTTCACCCTCCATCACACACGTTCACCCTCCAACACACACACGCGTTCACCCTCCATCACACACGTTCACCCTCCATCACACACATTCACCCTCCAACACACACACGTTCACCCTCCAACACACACGTTCACCCTCCAAACACACACACGTTCACCCTCCATCACACACGTTCACCCTCCAACACACACACGCGTTCACCCTCCATCACACACGTTCACCCTCCATCACACACATTCACCCTCCAACACACACACGTTCACCCTCCAACACACACGTTCACCCTCCAACACACACACGTTCACCCTCCAACACACACACGTTCACCCTCCAACACACACGTTCACCCTCCAACACACACGTTCACCCTCCATCACACACGTTCACCCTCCATCACACACGTTCACCCTCCAACACACACATTCACCCTCCAACACACACACGTTCACCCTCCAACACACACATTCACCCTCCAACACACACACGTTCACCCTCCAACACACACGTTCACCCTCCAACACACACGTTCACCCTCCAACACACTCACATTCACCCTCCATCACACACACGTTCACCCTCCAACACACACACGTTCACCCTCCAACACACACGTTCACCCTCCAACACACACACACGTTCACCCTCCAACACACACGTTCACCCTCCATCACACACACGTTCACCCTCCAACACACACACGTTCACCCTCCAACACACACGTTCACCCTCCAACACACACACGTTCACCCTCCATCACACACGTTCACCCTCCAACACACACACGCGTTCACCCTCCATCACACACACGTTCACCCTCCAACACACACGTTCACCCTCCATCACACACGTTCACCCTCCATCACACACATTCACCCTCCAACACACACACACGTTCACCCTCCAACACACACGTTCACCCTCCAACACACACGTTCACCCTGCAACACACACGTTCACCCTGCAACACACACGTTCACCCTCCATCACACACGTTCACCCTCCATCACACACGTTCACCCTCCAACACACACGTTCACCCTCCAACACACACGTTCACCCTCCAACACACACGTTCACCCTCCAACACACACACGTTCACCCTCCAACACACACGTTCACCCTCCAACACACACGTTCACCCTCCATCACACACGTTCACCCTCCATCACACACGTTCACCCTCCAACACACACATTCACCCTCCAACACACACACGTTCACCCTCCAACACACACATTCACCCTCCAACACACACACGTTCACCCTCCAACACACACGTTCACCCTCCAACACACACGTTCACCCTCCAACACACTCACATTCACCCTCCATCACACACACGTTCACCCTCCAACACACACACGTTCACCCTCCAACACACACGTTCACCCTCCAACACACACACACGTTCACCCTCCAACACACACGTTCACCCTCCATCACACACACGTTCACCCTCCAACACACACACGTTCACCCTCCAACACACACGTTCACCCTCCAACACACACACGTTCACCCTCCATCACACACGTTCACCCTCCAACACACACACGCGTTCACCCTCCATCACACACACGTTCACCCTCCAACACACACGTTCACCCTCCATCACACACGTTCACCCTCCATCACACACATTCACCCTCCAACACACACACGTTCACCCTCCAACACACACGTTCACCCTCCAACACACACGTTCACCCTGCAACACACACGTTCACCCTGCAACACACACGTTCACCCTCCATCACACACGTTCACCCTCCATCACACACGTTCACCCTCCAACACACACGTTCACCCTCCAACACACACGTTCACCCTCCAACACACACGTTCACCCTCCAACACACACACGTTCACCCTCCAACACACACGTTCACCCTCCAACACACACACGTTCACCCTCCAACACACACACGTTCACCCTCCAACACACACGTTCACCCTCCAACACACACACGTTCACCCTCCAACACACACACGTTCACCCTCCAACACACACGTTCACCCTCCAACACACTCACATTCACCCTCCATCACACACACGTTCACCCTCCAACACACACACGTTCACCCTCCAACACACACGTTCACCCTCCAACACACACACACGTTCACCCTCCAACACACACGTTCACCCTCCATCACACACACGTTCACCCTCCAACACACACACGTTCACCTCCAACACACACGTTCACCCTCCAACACACACACGTTCACCCTCCATCACACACGTTCACCCTCCAACACACACGTTCACCCTCCAACACACACACACGTTCACCCTCCAACACACACGTTCACCCTCCATCACACACACGTTCACCCTCCAACACACACACGTTCACCCTCCAACACACACGTTCACCCTCCAAACACACACACGTTCACCCTCCATCACACACGTTCACCCTCCAACACACACACGCGTTCACCCTCCATCACACACACGTTCACCCTCCAACACACACGTTCACCCTCCATCACACACGTTCACCCTCCATCACACACGTTCACCCTCCAACACACACACGTTCACCCTCCAACACACACGTTCACCCTCCAACACACACGTTCACCCTGCAACACACACGTTCACCCTCCATCACACACGTTCACCCTCCATCACACACGTTCACCCTCCAACACACACGTTCACCCTCCAACACACACGTTCACCCTCCAACACACACGTTCACCCTCCCAACACACACGTTCACCCTCCAACACACACACGTTCACCCTCCAACACACACGTTCACCCTCCATCACACACACGTTCACCCTCCAACACACACGTTCACCCTCCAACACACACGTTCACCCTCCAACACACACGTTCACCCTCCCACACACACGTTCACCCTCCCAACACACACGTTCACCCTCCAACACACACACGTTCACCCTCCAACACACACGTTCACCCTCCAACACACACACGTTCACCCTCCAACACACACACGTTCACCCTCCAACACACACACATTCACCCTCCAACACACACGTTCACCCTCCAACACACACACACGTTCACCCTTAAACACACACACGTTCACCCTCCATCACACACGTTCACCCTCCAACACACACACGTTCACCCTCCAACACACACGTTCACCCTCCAACACACACACACGTTCACCCTCCATCACACACACGTTCACCCTCCAACACACACACGTTCACCCTCCAACACACACACGTTCACCCTCCAACACACACACTTTCACCCTCCAACACACACGCGTTCACCCTCCAACACACACGCGTTCACCCTCCAACACACACGTTCACCATCCAACACACACGCGTTCACCCTTCAACACACACGCGTTCACCCTCCAACACACACACGTTCACCCTCCAACACACACACATTCACCCTCCAACACACACGTTCACCCTCCATCACACACGTTCACCCTCCAACACACACGTTCACCCTCCAACACACACGTTCACCTTCCAACACACACGTTCACCCTCCAACACACACGTTCACCCTCCAACACACACGTTCACCCTCCCAACACACACGTTCACCCTCCAACACACACACGTTCACCCTCCAACACACACGTTCACCCTCCATCACACACGTTCACCCTCCATCACACACACGTTCACCCTCCAACACACACGTTCACCCTCCAACACACACATTCACCCTCCAACACACACGTTCACCCTCCAACACACACGTTCACCCTCCCACACACACGTTCACCCTCCCAACACACACGTTCACCCTCCAACACACACACGTTCACCCTCCAACACACACGTTCACCCTCCAACACACACACGTTCACCCTCCAACACACACACGTTCACCCTCCAACACACACACATTCACCCTCCAACACACACGTTCACCCTCCAACACACACACACGTTCACCCTTAAACACACACACGTTCACCCTCCATCACACACGTTCACCCTCCAACACACACACGTTCACCCTCCAACACACACGTTCACCCTCCAACACACACACACGTTCACCCTCCATCACACACACGTTCACCCTCCAACACACACACGTTCACCCTCCAACACACACACGTTCACCCTCCAACACACACACGTTCACCCTCCAACACACACACTTTCACCCTCCAACACACACGCGTTCACCCTCCAACACACACGCGTTCACCCTCCAACACACACGTTCACCATCCAACACACACGCGTTCACCCTTCAACACACACGCGTTCACCCTCCAACACACACGCGTTCACCCTCCAACACACACACGTTCACCCTCCAACACACACGTTCACCCTCCAACACACACACGTTCACCCTCCAACACACACGCGTTCACCCTCCAACACACACGTTCACCATCCAACACACACACGTTCACCCTTCAACACACACGCGTTCACCCTCCAACACACACGCGTTCACCATCCAACACACACGCGTTCACCCTCCAACACACACGTTTACCATCCAACACACACACGTTCACCCTTCAACACACACGCGTTCACCCTTCAACACACACGCGTTCACCCTCCAACACACACACGTTCACCCTTCAACACACACACCTTCACCCTCCAACACACACACGTTCACCCTCCAACACACACGCGTTCACCCTCCAACACACACGTTCACCCTCCAACACACACGTTCACCATCCAACACACACACGTTCACCCTTCAACACACACACGTTCACCCTCCAACACACACGTTCACCATCCAACACACACACGTTCACCCTTCAACACACACACATTCACCCTCCAACACACAAATTCTTTCTTTCTCCACTAAACTGGACGTCTCTGCAGACTCACTGTTCAGCCTTAACCTGTGGATTCAGCGATGGACAGTGTTTATTGACAACGGTTTGTCAGAGTTTTCCTGAGCCTGTGTGGTGATATCATCACAGAAACATGCCATTTTTTAATGCAGTGCCTTCTGAGGGGTCGAAGGTCATGGGTATTCAGCTGGATTTCTCTGGGTTTTCTGAATCTGTTGATGATTTTGGGCACTGTAGAGGATGAAATACATAAAATCCTTGCAGTCACTCACTGAGGAACATTATTTTTATACAGCTGGATATTTTGCTGATGCATTTTCGGCAAAGTGGCCATGATCATCTTCACTCATAAAGGACTCGACCTTCCCTGGTTGCTCCTTTTACATCCAAACATGAACACATCACGTTTTTTGAACAATTTGCACATTTCCTGCTCTCAAATTGCTCCTGTCCCAACTTTTTTGGATTGTGTTGCAGACATTAATTTCAGAATGAGTGTCTATTTACAAAAAACAATGACGCTGATGAGATAAAACAGTAAATATCTTGTCTTTGTACTGTTTTTGTTCAAATACAGGTCAAAGTAGATTTATAAATCATCTGCATTTTACTGACTGTCCAAACTTTTTTGGAACTGAGTGAATTTAAGTATTAAGTGGTGATGCTTTCAGAGAGTGAGTGATTTGAGTGGCGAATGACAAACATATAAAAATGTTTATGAATGTTGATTCTGGGTGTCATAAAGTCTGATTTTGTCAACTTCGATATAACATAATAAAATAGTGGCGATGGTGGTGGGTGGTGTGTGGGCAGGGTGGTTAGGGGGGTCCTCACCCTGAAGAACTCTTTGGTGGACCCTGAGTCCAGCGTGCCGTACGCTATCTCCGTCTGTTTGGCCAAATCTTCCGCGCTCTCTATCGGAGACACCATCCTCTCCACAGTGAGGAACGCAGCCAGGTTAGCAGTGTAGGACGAGATGATGATGAGGGTGAAGAACCACCAGACTCCGCCCACAATACGACCTGAGAGAGACCTGAGAGAGAGAGAGCGGAAGAAAGAAGGAGTGTAGGGGAAAACAGAGAAAGAGAGAGAGAGAGAGACAGAGACAGAGAGAGAGAGAGAGGGAGAGAACAGAGAGAGAGAGAGAGAGACAGAGACAGAGAGAGAGAGCATAAGGAGGAAATATACATTCAGAGAGAAATAGAGGGAGAAAGAAAACGAGCGGAGAAAGAGAGAGAGACAGAGAGGGAGAGGGACACAGAGAGAGAGAAAGAGAGAGAACAGAGAGAGAGAGACAAAGAGAGAGAGATAGAGAGAGAGAGAGAGAGAGAGAACAGAGAGGGAGAGAGAGACAGAGAGAGAGAAAGAGAGAGAGAGAGAGACAGAGAGAGAGAGGGAGAGAGAGACAGAGAGAGAGAGAGAGCATAAGGAGGAAATATACATTCAGAGAGAAATAGAGGGAGAAAGAAAACAAGCAGAGAAAGAGAGAGAGAGAGAGGGAGAGAGAGACAGAGAGAGAGAGAGAGAGAGAGAGAGAGAGAGAACAGAGAGAGAGAGAAAGAGAGTGAGAGAGAGAGAGAGAGACAGATAGAGAGAGAGAGAGAACAGGCAAAAAACAAACGGCAGACATGTCACCTCAGAGAGATCATCTGCACTAGAGCAATGCTAATCCATAACAGCTAATCCTACACTAGAGCAATGCTAATCCATAACAGCTAATCCTACACTAGAGCAATGCTAATCCATAACAGCTAATCCTACACTAGGGCAATGCTAATCCATAACAGCTAATCCTACACTAGAGCAATGCTAATCCATAACAGCTAATCCTACACTAGAGCAATGCTAATCCATAACAGCTAATCCTACACTAGAGCAATGCTAATCCAGAACAGCTAATCCTACACTAGAGCAATGCTAATCCATAACAGCTAATCCTGCGCTAGAGCAATGCTAATCCATAACAGCTAATCCTGCCCTAGGGCAATGCTAATCCATAGCAGCTAATCCTACACTAAAGCAATGCTAATCCATAACAGCTAATCCTGCGCTAGAGCAATGCTAATCCATAACAGCTATCCTGCCCTAGGGCAATGCTAATCCATAGCAGCTAATCCTACACTAAAGCAATGCTAATCCATAACAGCTAATCCTGCCCTAGGGCAATGCTAATCCATAACAGCTAATCCTACATTAAAGCAATGCTAATCCATAACAGCTAATGCTGTGCTAGAGCAATGCTAATCCACAACAGCTAATCCTACACTAAAGCAATGCTAATCCATAACAGCTAATCCTGCCCTAGGGCAATGCTAATCCAGAACAGCTAATCCTGCGCTAGAGCAATGCTAATCCACAACAGCTAATCCTACACTAAAGCAATGCTAATCCATAACAGCTAATCCTGCCCTAGGGCAATGCTAATCCACAACAGCTAATCCTACACTAAAGCAATGCTAATCCACAACA